AGGGTTCACCACTGATGAGCCAGGCCCTCTCATCAATTTTTCTATTGCAGTAAGGGCAGTAGAAATTGTTTAATATCAAAAAGAATCTTACGCCTTTAAAATAGTTTTGAATTTTGATATTCAAAAGGGTATATATAGCTTTAAAAGATATGTAATTAAAGTTTGTTTCTTAATTTGGTAAAGCATATTTATATATTTAATCGAAGAGGAACATTACAATGACATTAATGCTTCAAGAGGTTACATTTATTAATTAGTTATTTTATAATTGTTTAAACAAACATTTTTTTTTTATTTCCAGAATGTATGAAGATTTGTAAACAATTCAATACAATATATAAAACTGGCGTTTTTAGATTTTCTATACTTATAAGGAAATAACGTGCCGCCGTTATATAAGAATTAATGTAAGAATTAATACCACCAATGTCTTTTATACATAAAAAAAAACTTCTAAGAAGCGGTCTGGTAGATTAAATTGGCGAAACCGCTTGAAGGGTTCTCATCTGATGAGCCAAGTTCATCCAATATTTTTTCATCGCATTAAGAACAGTAGAAACTTATTTTATGTGTAAAATAAACGTTCGCTTTTTTTTATTCTTTGATTTCTAATAGAGCATTATTTATCATCACTAACTTTATATTTTCGGTTTTTGATATCAACGGTCTAAGATCAAATCCTGCATTGGACACATTTTTTTCTAATTGATCCAGTGGCCTTCTATTTTTGCAAATTTTTGCACCATGATTATCATGGCCTGTATATTGTTGCATCATGTTTTCATTGTTGCATTTATTTATTTTTATAAAACAGAATATTATTATGAAATATTATGTACTATAAAATCATTTGTATTTTGATACACAAACTGAACACTGAATACACAACCGGCTTTAAACTTTGATGTGATAAATAAAGAGAGATTCTAGGTGTTACCTAAAAATATAGTTGTCTTATTATTGACTGGTTTAACCTTGTAGGATGGTTGAGACATGTTCTGGAAATATGCAAGACGCGTCTGAGGAGAGAATTAAGACTGAAGAATCTGCCAAACCGCAGCCTGGTGTAACAATATATACCATGTATACTCGGTATAATAATTAAAGAAAACTGTACATACAGTCGGATTTCGATAAATTGAAACTCAAGAGACCAGAGAAAAATTTCAATTCACCAAGAATTCAAAATAACAGGAATTTAAACAACCAAGAGGAAAGGAGGGAAAAAATCAAGTAAACAACAGTTTGAAGTTTTGGCAGTTTCGGGACATATACATACTGTGTTGATACAAGATTAAATAAGTGACTTACCGCAAGTGTGTTTTTAAAGTAATAAATTTATTGAGAGCTTTCGGGTCTTACCCTTTCTCAATCAAGAATTTGATCACAAAATTCATGATTTATTATTTTAAACATTTGTACATTCATTCACAAATATTCATTTGTGGCAGGATACTATCCTTTCAACTTCAAATTACCGAGGCAACCAATTAATATTGATTTTATTCAAATTATCAAGTATTTTTCAGGGACCGGGAAAACATTTCAAATTATTGAGAGATTCAAATTAACGAGTTTCAAATTATCGAGAGTCGACTGTATATTGTGTATTGAGTTAGTAAACAAAATTCAAGTTTTATTAGCAAGGGAGAGGTGCCTCTTCTGGTGGAGACGCCGGTTATGTAAATTTCTTTCTTTTTTGCTTATTCAGCCAAAATATTAACATATTTGTAAATATAATTCTGTATATAAGGATGCGTAAGTTTAATAAAAGTGTGTCAGTAATAATCGGGTGTTGGTGAATTATTAGTGTCATCAATAAAGGTCACTGTAATATCTTTCAGAGTTATTGTCTCAACCCCGATATACATGCTGAAAGGTACAACTTCCTTAAGTTTTGTTTGTAAGTCTTCAATAAAGGTCACTGTAATATCTTTCATAGTTATTGTCTGAATCCCGATATACATGGTAAAAGGTACAACTACCTTAAGTTTTGTTTGTAAGTCTTCAATAAAGGTCACTGTAATATCTTTCAGAGTTATTTGTCTGAATCCTGATATACATGCTATAAGGTACAACTACTTTAAGTTTTGTTTGTAAGTCTTCAATAAAGGTCACTGTAATATCTTTCAGAGTTATTTGTCTGAATCCTGATATACATGCTAAAAGGTACAACTTCCTTGAGTTTTGTTTGTAAGTCTTCAATAAAGGTCACTGTAATATCTTTCAGAGTTATTATCTGAATCCCGATATACATGCTAAAAGGTACAACTACTTTAAGTTTTGTTTGTAAGTCTTCAATAAAGGTCACTGTAATATCTTTCAGAGTTATTGTCTCAATCCCGATATACATGCTTAAAGGTACAGCTTCCTTAAGTTTTGTTTGTAAGTCTTCAATAAAGGTCACTGTAATATCTTTCAGAGTTATTGTCTGAATCCTGATATACATGCTGAAAGTTACAATTTCCTTAAATTCTGTCAGGGTTTCTGGTGTTGTGGGCACTTTTAAGGAAGCAAATAGGTTGGAGACCAGAAGTCTGGCAAGAAGATACAGTCAAGCTCTGCCATAACTATTTAGATAAGACTAGACTTATCCAGGATGCGGTAAGCTTTCCGAGCTTAGTAAGTGAGGCAGTGATCGCATCCGAAACATCTGGTATATAAAGAAGGAAAGGCATGACACTTTCTAAACGCGTTCTATGTAGTCATAAAAAAGAAGGAAAAAGAAAGAAGGAATTAGAAGTACACAGTGTGGTCAGGTCATATTTCAAGTAACCGATGTTATAAACTTGGATTTTTATAACCTCAGAAGTTATTAGAGTCTTGGGAGACGTTTTTATAGCAAGCTAATAGCTTTCTGGACTCAAGGGCTATAAACTTGCTGGTCCTGGTCAAATACCTTTAAATTAATCTATGATTAAATGTTTGAAAAATAACGATTTTTCTGGATAGTAATCTATTCACTATTTTATATTTTGGAAAAACCATTTTTTTACTTTTCTTCAATGTGTGTGTGATTATATATCTTTTATATATTTAATATATATAATTTATAATATATTTATAATATATTTATATATAATTATAAATTTTATTAATATTAGATTGTGAAATAGTTGCAAAGGATTTAAACGATATACATCAATCAAATGATTGCAAAAAGTATCTTTATTAAATAAAAATGTATAAAAATAAAATCAATTTTTTTTAATAAAGAAACTTTTTGCAATTATTTGATTGATGCATATTGTTTATTAATATATAATATTTATATATCTATATATAAAAATCAATGTTTGTATGTTTGTTTGTTTGTATGTCCGGTATACAAATTCGCAAAAGTTCACTAATTCAAAACAAAATTTCCATACATAGGTAAAAAAATACGGGGAAGACGATAGGGTATTTTAAAAAATATATAAATCAATTATTAAAACTATAAATACAAATTATTCTACTTAGCTCACGAACAGCGCCCTCTATCAAAGATTAGATTAAATTATGCTGATGCAAACAAATAGATAATGCTAATAACAAACAATTATTTTAAAAAAATCTTATCTAAAAATATATCACTCGGGTAGATATGCACACGGGTCAATCCCGGGGCGAAGCCCGGGTCACCCGTCTAGTTATATATATTTTGACTTTTTTTCACATGAACAGAGTATTTACCCAAATTTGGTTTTAAATTTCCGTTTCTTGATTTCTCAGGAAGCCTCTAGGACCAGAATTTGGCCGTTGAGGTACAGCCTGCACCACGCTGACGAGGGCCAACAGCCTGAAACGCGTTCGTGGTTGACTTTTCTTAATTTATCGAGAAAGTGGGTTGGATAAATATCATTGAACAAGTCAAATCAACTTTTAGTTAATTTTTATTCCACTAGATGGCGTTCTGCCATCTAAAATGCTCATGTGAACGGTCAGGATATGCTTTAAGGTAATAAGATCAAATCCAAATAAATAAATAGTGTGTAACGTTTCGGTAACAGCGTTGTTACCATCTTCAGACAAAAGTACTGAATGTACACAAGGTAATAAGAGTGAATACAAATAAATAAATAGTGTGTGACGTTTCGGTAACAGCGTTGTTACCATCATCAGACAAAAGTACTGAATGAACACAAGGTAATATGACCAAATCCAAATAAATAAATAGTGTGTGACGTTTCGGTAACAGCGTTGTTACCATCTTCAGACAAAAGTACTGAATAAACACAAGGTAATAAGACCCTCCCAAATCCAAATAAATAAATAGTGTGTGACGGTAACAGCGTTGTTACCATCTTCAGACAAAAGTACTGAATAAACACAAGGTAATAAGACCCCCCCCCCCAAATCCAAATAAATAAATAGTGTGTGACGGTAACAGCGTTGTTACCATCTTCAGACAAAAATACTGAATAAACACAAGGTAATAAGACCAAATCCAAATATATAAATAGTGTGTGACGTTTCGGTAACAGCGTTGTTACCTTCATCAGACAAAAGTACTGAATAAACACAAGGTAATAAGACCCCCCCCCCCCCCCCAAATCCAAATAAATAAATAGTGTGTGACGGTAACAGCGTTGTTACCATCTTCAGACAAAAGTACTGAATAAACACAAGATAATAAGACCCCCCCCCCCCCCAAATCCAAATAAATAAATAGTGTGTGACGGTAACAGCGTTGTTACCTTCATCAGACAAAAGTACTGAATAAACACAAGGTAATAAGAACAAATCCAAATAAATAGTTACCATCATTAGACCATTCAGTATTTTTTCTGAAGATGGTAACAACGCTGTTACAGAAACATCACACACCATTTATTAGGATTTACTCTTATTACCTTGTGTTTATAATCTACTAGCCGAATGACCCGGGCAACGCCCGGGTTTTACCCGATTAAATGTTTTTATTCAAATACTATTCGTTACAATTATAAATTGGCGCCGTGGATGTCATTCTTGTATAATATATAAATGAGTTTTAAAAAATGTAAAAAAAAAAAAAATGCATCGGCTCGGAATCGAACCCGGGCCGCCCGCGTGGCAGGCGAGCATTCTACCACTGAACCACCGATGGTTATGAGAAATGGCCATATTTGGGTATTTATTCCATTCACAAAGCAAACGGTGACAGAATTGATTAAGAATTGTTGCTTGATTATGACGCTGATAACTGTATATATTAATAATCCAAATTGTGCCTTATCATCCCACTAAATAATATTTAACTAACACAAGAGGGAAATAGTTAGTAAGGTGAGAGGTATGGTTAGGTAAATGAACACACAGAAGAATGTGCTGAATACAAGATGTAAATAGAGTTTATTTACATATAAATCGAAAGGAATAAGTTTATCTCAAGATAACACCCTCTGATCCAAATTAGAATCCCAAAGTATTCTCTATTCCTTTACTCGATAAAATACAATGTGAATACGTCTGTGTATTATACAAGTCTTGTCTCAAATTGATGCCATCTATTGGTGAAAAAATGAACTAATTTCTTTATTTAATATTTGATAAATTATATATTTATATTAAAAGTAGTCGTTAACAGGATATGTGAAAGAAAAGAAAACAATTTTTTAATCAAAATATTTCGATGATTTGCTTCGTCTTTATCAATTTATTGCACAATATATATATGTAGTAGAAATAAGATTTTCTTCTGATATTTTGATTATCTTCAGGATTATGCTATGGTAATGCACTCATGGTTAAAATCTTGAAAGTATAATAATAAAAATAATGAAGATTAGAAATAGCTTTAATTGAGCTTATGGAATATAGAAAACATAATGTGATGAAAGTAATGCCTGGTTTAAGGCGTAAGAATAAAAAAATGAATAACTTATTTACATAATGTACAAAGGTTTGAGCCGGCCATCGAGAAACAACAACAATCGGTTTTATATAGGGAAAGTCCCGACATCTGGTAGTAGAAATAAACAGAATATTTGAATCTATGAAATATATTTTTAAAATAACATTTTTAATAATATCTTTATATAACATATATATGTTATATTAAAATATTATATTTTTGACGTGACAACGTCTTAAATTAGGTAGCGGCTGGGAGTCACTTATGAAAAAGTGTAACGCCCGGTAACGTTATGATGAGTCATCGAACGAGAGTGCTGCGCGCGCAGCTGCGCGCGCAGCGCTAGAGAATTAGGCGCATTGAATCGGCGCATGCTTGTCTCTGTCTTTGTCTTTCTCGAACGTTCTTGGCGTTGGAAAAACAAGAAAGCGTCATAATACAAGTTCACACGTGTGGTTAAAGTATCGTCAGCTGTGTCTGTAGTGAAAATGTGGAGTGCTTAGATTCGTCATTTACAACAACTACAACAATAAAGGTAAATAATTGTACACTGATATTTCATTATCGTAAACTATGATTGATTGATTAATTGTTAGATAGACACAAAAGTTGAGAAACTGAGTTTATAGGTTATGTCATACTATTGATAAATGTTGATAGTGTTAAGTAAATTATTAGTTTAAAATTAATTAATTAATTAATTATTATTTTACAAATTTTAAATAGTTTCAAATTTATTTAGCAAAAATTTGAACCTTCGATCTGAATAAATGTTTTGATTTTCGAATTGATTCTTTAAAATTACAAATATTAAGAAAAAGTGGCAGATATAAGAAAACTTTATTTAAAATGTGTTGAGCAAGAATTTTAACATCTAATTTAAGTAAATGTTTTAATTTTCAACTTCATCATTTACAATTACAAATTTTATTTAATTTCAAATTTATTTAGCAAAAATTTGAACCTTCGATCTGAATAAGTGTTTTGATTTTCAAATACCAACGCGGCTGGTGGAGTGGCGATCTATCGTAAATTATCATCGACATCTACGGCGGAAGTGTTCCAAGTTGCGATTACAGACGTAACTCGTGTCATTAAAACCAAGGGTGACATGTGCATGACTGAAGTTACTTGCTTCGCCGCTAATACTAGCTTCAAGTTTATACTCGGTGCTGTATATATTCATCCAGGAGCTAGTATGCAGGATATTGGAATGTTACTATGGCAAGGACTCGGTCCGTACATTCACAACAGCCAGTACGTGCCACCGTTCGTGCAAGTTGATTCTAGTATACCGATTCTTCTGTGTGGTGATTTTAACAAAAACGTAAAGCCTGACAACTCGTTTCTTAATTTCATGAAAAATACGTATAATCTTGATTGCGTATCAAACGTTTCTAAGTCAACTACGTTAAAAGGAACAACTATCGACTTGACTTTCGCAAGACACATTACAGCAGAAACACTTCCTTTCATTTCATATTTCTCCTATCATCGTCCTATCCTCAACAAAATCACTCAAATAGGAATTAGTTAAGTTTAAGTTTACATGTACAATGTTTTAGTAAACAAAATATATTTCTATAGTTAAAATTTGTGCAATTCTTATTTTCATTCAATTCCTTGTTCCTATTGTGCAATTTAATTATATTCATATCAATAAATATTCTACCGTTGTCACGTAAAATCTTCGCCCGTAAAACCGACTTTACAGGCAACCATTTTTTTTTTAAATTATATTTCATAGATCTAAATATTCTGTTAAATCGACCGCCAGAGGTCACGCTTTGCATATAAAAACTTGTTGTTGTTTTATCCCAATGGCCGGCTCAAACCTTTTGTACATTATGTAAATAAGTTATTCAATTTTTTATTCTTACGCCTTGAGCCAGACAGTACTTTTACCAAATTATGTTTATATATATATATATTCCTCAGCTACAAATAAAGAAATCTCTGATCAAAATTATTTTATTATTCCCACGACTGCATCATCAATACCATTTAGTACAAAAAAGAACCAGCAAATAACTCCATGGCATAATCCTCAACATGATCTAAATTCAAGCAGAAAATCTCATTTTTATATTATAACATATACAGTACAATAAATATTGATAAAGAGGGAACAATCTTTCGGAATACTTAGAGAAATTTGTTTGCTTTCTTTAACAGATCCTGATAACGGCTATTTTTATGTGAATATTTTTTTTTGACTTTCGCCTTTTGACTCCCATTATTCATTGTTTTATCGAATTGATAGATATAATACACAAAATGGCTTCCGTAGTGAGTATTATTTATACTCATATGCACCTTACACCACGCTGACGAGGACCAACAGCCCGAAACGCGTACGTGGTTAGCTTTTCTTGATTAATCAAGAATGGGTAATTTTGGCCAATTCTGGAATAATTAAAAATGAACGATTAATTTATATTTATTCTGACAGATGGCGCAAGCCATCAGTAACTTTTAGTTGCACGATCAGAAGATGCCTAATTATTTTTTCATACACTACTGTAGAAAGGTTTGTGGTACCTGAAAGCTTGAGAAGAATTGAAAATAAAACAGGATACTTATCCTCAAGGAAGCTGTATTGTTTATTATTCTATATACAGTTACGAGCGTCATCATCTATTTTATTTATTTCATCTCAATTTGCAGGTGTTACATTCGAGCACAGCTCGCGAGTCACCTTGTCCATATTATTTACACATGGCGAGTTGTGATGCTGGAGTGGCCCCCCGAACCTTACAGGAGGGTAGTTGTTGGGTGTTTGGCTGTCAGCTAGCCATTGGGTCCAGGTCGTCGGATTCGGTGGCTGAGGTCACCTTGGTTTTGAACAATTTCTTGTATAGTTGGATTTGAGGATTTTTGAAATTGCGAGAATAGTCTTGTCGCAGAGTCTTGATAAATCTCTTCTATATTAGGCTGGTTGAGATCTTCTTTGAGAATTTTGTTTGAAAGATTGAATGGGGCTCCTATAGTGGTTCGTAAGCAAATCCTCATGAAGGCATCTATTCTTTTTTTATCCGTAGGTGTGATATATTTGCCCCAGACTGGTAGTGCGTACGTGATGATGGGTAGAATGCAGGTTTTGTACAACGTGAATTTATGCTTTGTTGTTAAATTACTTTTAAAATTAAGCAGGCTTGATAGAGATATTTTGGCTATCTTTGCCTTTCTTATGGTGTTTTGGACATGTAGGTTAAATTTTAATTTCGAATCCAAAGTGACACCAAGATACTTGGCATGGTCGGCCCAACTAATAGTGCTTGAGTTTACTGTCAAGTTGGTTTGTGGCTTGAATTTTTTGTTATCTCTTGGGGGAAAAACTATTGCTTGAGACTTAGTTGGGTTAATGTCTAGTTTCCACTCATCGCACCATTTGATTATGTCATTTAGGTAATTCTGAAGCTGAGTAACCAATAGGTTGACTGATTTGGAGTTGAATAAAATTGCTGTGTCATCGGCGAAGAGCTTAAGTTTACATTTAGAGTGCAGTGGGATGTCATTAATGTAAATATTGAAAAGGTAGGGTCCGAGGATAGAGCCTTGAGGTACTCCAGTCTGGATTGGCTTTGGTTCAGTTATAAAATGTCCTTGCTTGACTGAAAATGTCCTGCCCTGTAGATAATTCTGCATAAATTTGATAATGTCACTTGGAAACTGGTGTTTTGTGAGTTTCTTTATAAGGCCATTATGCCAAACTTTATCAAATGCTTTCGCAAAATCTAGAAAGACAGCACCTACCACTTCCTTGTGGGATCTTCTTATCTGGATATAGTCCAGAACTGCAATGAGTTGGTGAGTTGTTGAGTGCCCCCTTCTAAATCCGAATTGCTGCGGGATGATGAAGTTAGAGTTGTCCAAGTACATCTGAAGTCTACGTAGAATAATTCTTTCGTAAATTTTGCCGATGGTGGAGAGGAGGCTGATAGGTCTTAGATCTTCAGGGGATTTAGCGGATTTTTTTGGAATTGGAATTATGATAGCATGCTTCCAGACTTTGGGGTAGTAACACAAGTGCAGTGCGGCGTTGAATACTCCAGCTAGAAATACAATCCATTTGATGGGAAGATTCTTGGCCATTTGCGGAGTGATATTGTCATGGCCAGGAGCTTTGTGGTTAGCTAAGTATTTAATTACTTCTTTGACTTCATTTGGTGTCGTCATTGTGAGCATTTTTTCTTGTTGGTGATTATAAGTTATATTTGGTTGGTCTTCTTCTTTTTCCTTGGAGAACTGGT